TCAAAGGTTTATTCTGTTCAAAACTAAGATGCCTGAAACTTGACCCAGCACAATTAGCTGGCCAGTTTGCTGCTTCAAGCAGCTTTCTACTCTGGGATCTGCGTGATCAAAAGAGTAGAGTTTGTTTTATGAACAAGAAGTTGCACGTATATGTGATTATAATCATGCAATGTCACCATGCTGGGGATACACAGCAGCTATTAAGTTTTAATGAACTGAAAACTGCCTATCTGAGTTTTACCTTATGGACTCTGATTTAAAGTGTCCAATGAAGGTTCTCTCTGAACAAGGCATTTATGAACCAGAGGACTAGTGTTGGTGGTGGAAGTTGAATAGACCAGTAGTGTTTATTGGATGTTCAGTGAGGCAAGTCTTCTGGCTGATTACATTTAGTGTTTCCATAAGCTCTTTGCTATCACTGAAATCGGAAAGTCATGGAGCCCTACTTTCAAGATTTGAGCATTGATTCAGGCTGGTACTTGAATGTCATGTGACATGGTCAGAGATAAACAAACCACTGAGATTTATCGTCTTGCCGCAAGAATGAGAAAAGATTGCATGAGGCTGTTGGAATTAGAGCAGATCCCCAGTGTCTTGCCAGTATTTATCTGCTAAATAAAACAAAATATGTTATCATTATCACGTCTTTGTGGGATCTAGTTGTGCACAAGTTGCTAGTGCCTTTCCTGCGTTGTTGCTTTGACTATGCTTGCAAAGTATTTTAATGGCCCTGAAAGTGCTTTGGCAACAATGAGGTTGTAAAAGTGTCTATATAAATGCAGATCTTTTATTTACTCCCTTGTCAAGGCAGGGCAGAGTGGACACTCTGCTTTGGAGTGCCTTGAAGTAAGTTGTTGGATGCAAGTGCTTATTTCCCCTCAAGTTTTTGACCCAGTTCTTCCAAAGAACAAAGAAAATTACAGCACAGGAACAGGCCCATCGGCCCTTCAAGCCTGTGCCGATCCAGATCCTCTTAGCTAAACCTGTCGCCTATTTTCCAAGGATCTGTATCCCTCTTCTCCCTGCCCATTCATATATCTGTCTAGATACATCTTAAATGATGCTATTGTGCCCGCCTCTACCACCTCCGCTGGCAACATGTTTCAGGCACCCACCACCCTCTGCGTAAAGAAGTTTCCACACATATCTCCCTTAAACTTTTCCCCTCTCCCCTCTCCCCTCTCCCCTCGAAATCGTGACCCCTAGTAATTGAGTCCCCCACTCTAGGGGGGATAAAGCTTCTTGCTATCCATCCTGTCTATACCTCTCATGATTTTGTAGACCTCAGTCAGGTCCCCCCTCAACCTCCGTCTTTCTAATGTAAATAATCCTAATCTACTCAACCTCTCTTCGTAGCTAGTGCCCTCCTTACCAGGCAACATTCTGGTGAACCTCCTCTGCACCCTCCAAAGCATCCACATCCTTTTGGTAATGTGGCGACCAGAACTGTATGTATTATTCCAAGTGTGGTCGAACCAAAGTCCTATACAACTGTAACACAACCTGCTAACTCTTGTACTCAATACTCCGTCCGATGAATGAAAGCATGCCGTATGCCTCCTTGACCACTGTATCGACCTGTGTTGCCACCTTCACGGTACAATGGACCTGAACACCCAGATCTCTCTGTGCATCAATTTTCCCCAGGGCTTCCGTTTACCATATAGTTCACTCTTGAATTGGATCTTCCAAAATGCATCACCTCACATTTGTCTGGATTGAACTCCATCTGCCATTTCTCCGCCCAACTCTCCAATCTATCTATATTCTGCTGCATTGTCCGACAGTCCCCTTCACTCTCTGCTACTCCACCAATCTTAGTGTCATCTGCAAACTTGTTAATCAGACCATCTATACCTTCCTCCAGATCATTTATGTATATCAGAAACAATAGTGGTCCCAACACAGATCCCTGTGGAACACCACTGGTCACAGTTCTCCATTTTGAGAAACTCCCTTCCACTACAACACACTGTCTCCTGTTGCCCAGCCAGTTCTCTATCCATCTAGCTCGTACACCCTGGACACCATGCGACTTCACTTTCTCCATCAGCCTACTATGGGGAACCTTATCAACGCCTTACTGAAGTCCATGTATATGATATCTACAGCCCTTCCCTCATCTATCAACTTTGTCACTTCCTCAAAGGATTCTATCAAGTTGGTAAGACATGACCTTCCCTGCACAAAACCATGCTGCCTATCACCAATAAGCCCAATCTCTTCCAAATGTAAATAGATCCTATCCCTCAGTATCTTCTCCAGCAGCTTCCCCACCACTGACGTCAGGCTCACCGGTCTATAATTACCTGGATTATCCTTGCTACACAAGGGGTCAACATTAGCAATTCTCCAGTCCTCCGGGACCTCACCCGTGCTCAAGGATGCTGCAAAGATATCTGTTAAAGCCCCAGCTATGTCCTCTCTTGCTTCCCTCAGCATGGGATAGATCCCATCTGGACCTGGGGACTTGACTACCCTAATGCCTTTTAGAATAGTCAAAACCACTCTTTCCCCCCCACCCCCCACCACCACTACCAAGGCCGAATTGACCTAGAGTAATCAAACATCTGTCCCTAACCTCAACATCCATCATGTCCCTCTCCTTGGTGAATACTGACGCAAAGTACTCATTAAGAATCTCACTCATTTTCTCTGACTCCTCGCATAACTTGTCCTTGAGTGGGCCAACCCTTTCTCTAGTTACCCTCTTGCTGCTTATGTACGAATAAAAGGCTTTGGGATTTTCCTTAACCCTGTTTGCTAAAGATATTTCATGACCCCTTTTAGCCCTCTTAATTCCTCGTTTCACATTGGTCCTACTTTCCCGATATTCTTCCAAAGCTTCGTCTGTTTTCAGTCGCCTAGACCTTTATGTATGCTTCCTTTTTCCTCTTTGCTAGTCTCTCAGTTTCACCTGTCATCCATGGTTCCCTAATCTTGCCCTTTCTATCCCTCATTTCACAGGGACATGTCTGTCCTGCACTCTAATCAACCTCTCTTTAAAAGCCTCCCACGTATCAAATGTGGATTTACCCTCAAACAACTGCTCCCAATCCACATTCCGCAGCCCCTGCCGAATTTTGCTATAGTTGGCCTTCCCCCAATTTAGCATGCTTTCTTTAGGACCACTCTCGTCTTTGTCCATGAGTATTGTAAAACTTATGGAATTGTGATCACTATTCCCAAAGTAATCCCCTACTGAAACTTCAACCACCTGGCCGGGCTCATTCCCCAACACCAGGTCCAGTATGGCCCCTTCCTGAGTTGGACTATTTACATACTGCTCTATAAAACCCTCCTGGATGCTCCTTACAAATTCTGCTCCATCTAATCCCCTAACACTAAGTGAATCCCAGTCAATGTTGGGAAAATTAAAATCTCCCATCACCACCACCCTGTTGCTCCTACATCTTTCCATAATCTGTCTACATATTTGTACCTCTATCTCACGCTCGCTGTTGGGAGGCCTGTAGTACAGCCCCAACATTGTTACCACACCCTTCCTATTTCTGAGCTCTGCCCGTATTGCCTCCCTGCTCGAGTCCTCCATAGTGCCCTCCTTCAGCACAGCTGTGACCAGTAATGCAACTCCTCCACCCCTTTTACCTCCCTCTCTATCCTGCTTGAAGCATCTATATCCTGGGATATTTAGTTGCCAATCTTGCCCTTCCCTCAACCAAGTCTCAGTAATTGCAATAACATCATACTCCCAGGTACTAATCTAAGCCCTAAGTTCATCTGCCTTACCTGCTACACTTCTCGCATTAAAACAAATGCACCTCAGACCACCTGTCCCTCTGCGTTCATCACCTGCTCTCTGCCTACTCTTACCCTTAGTCACACTTAGTGCATTGTCTGGTTCCTTACAGGCTTTAGTTACTACCTCCTTACTGTCCACTAACCTCCTCATTTGGTTCCCATCCCCCTGCCACATTAGTTTAAACCTTCCCCAATAGCGTTAGCAAAAGCACCCCCTACGAAATTGGTTCCAGTCCTGCCCAGGTGTAGACTGTCCAATTTGTAATAGTCCCACCTCCCCCAGAACTGGTCCCAATGTCCCAAAAATCTGAACCCCTCCCTCCTGCACCATCTCTCAAGCCACTCATTTATCCTGCCTATTCTTTCATTTCTACTCTGACTAGCACGTGGGACTGGTAGCAGTCCTGAGATTACTACCTCTGAGGTCCTACTTTTTAACTTGGCTCCTAACTCCCTAAATTCTGCTCACCATTTTGGTGATTTTTTTCCAATCCAGGCCAAGTGCATTTTCACTTTACTCCTTAATTTGAACCACAAATAGCTTAATTATCTCAACTTTTTCCATTAGTCCCAACATTGCAAAGGTGGACTTCAAAAGAAAACTACTTTGTTTCTTCTCTCCAAACCAAGCTGGTTCAAGTATCCACAAACTGGTATCTGAAGGGAGAACTGGAACAATAATGGCATTGTGATAATGTCACCAGGGTAGTTAATCCAGGGATTTGTATTACTGATTTGCTGGACGTTGACTTCAAATCACAGTACACCACACCAGCTAGTGAAACTTGTTTTCCATGTTTACTAATTGAATTTAAATCGAGTTTCAGTAATAGTGACATTTACAGCTGTCATCGATTATCATAAAATCCTATCTGGTTCACTGCCCTTTTAGGGAAGGAAATCCTTTTTCAGTTTATGTGACTCCAAAACCACGGTAATATGCTTTATTTGAAATAACCTCAGTTCAAGGGTACTTCAGGACTGGGCAACAAATGCTGTCAACTTCCTGTTAAAGAAAAAGAAACCTTTAAAATGTGTTGAGTATTTAGTTTGCAGTGTACCAAAGGAGGAGGTACAGCTGAAACAGAACAGATTTTTCCATCTGAACTATGTGAACAGAGGCTTGAGATTAGGGTGCCTGTCCACTGTTGGTTAAGGAATGGACCATTAGGAATTTCCCACTGCAGCACTCTGTGCCTGAGCTGTGGTTATAATGTGTGTTGTGATTTGTTTTGCAGTGTGTTCAGTAAGCGTCCTTGGAGAGAGTGATGTGATGCAGGAGTTCCTGGCTGATTCCAGTGAGGTAAGGGCATCAAAACTGACAGCTGAGACCAGATTTCATTTTTTTAACTCATAATTTGAAGAATAATGTTTAACTTGAGCAGAATTCGTGGCTGTTCTGTCATTCAGCTTGAATTTGTCCAGCCTGTATCTTAACTCCTTGTGTCATATACCATGGTTGCATAATCCTTTAATGTTCTTACGTAGCAAAATAGAAAATATTAATTTTGCTGTTAATTAACCACACCCAGCTAAACATTTTAAGTGTTCTCCATTTCCACTTTTTTGTTTACCCTCCCCCTGCTTTCTCCTCTGAACACACCCCCCCCCCATTTTGAGTAAATAAATGCTTCTTAACGTCACCCTGTGCTGCCAAGCTCTAGTATTACCTTCTCCCACCAGAGGTGATAGTTCCTCTTTATGTATAGTTCTGTAAACATTTTCAGTTGCATGACTACAGAATTATTGCACTTGCCATTTCCTTGAAACGTTCCTTTGAAACCCATTGGAACCTATCTCCCTCTGAACTGACTGCACTCTGTGCTCTCAGATCCAACCCTGTAACAAGGATGCTGCTGTTATACAGACCTCTGCATTGAGGAGGTTGAGTGTCAGCCCCCAGAGACCTCCACCTACCACTCCCGGACCATGATCCCACCATTGAACACCAGGATATTGTGTCCACAGTGGTGTCTAATCGCATTTCATCCAACACCCCCCAGCCCACTGTCTCCAAGCTCATCATCTCCCAACCTCATGCAGCCCACTTCTACTTCCTTCCCAAAATCCAGAAACAGGACCACCTGGGCAGACCCGTTGTTCCTGCCTGCTCCTTCCCCCACGAAACTCACCTCTTCCTTCTTCCTACCTTGACTCAACTTTTTTTTTCTTCCCCTCCTCTTTACCTTTCCCAGTTACATCTGTGTCTTCTGACACTTTGTGTTAGTTTCAGAATTTCCAGTTCCTGGGCTCCAACTGTTACCTATTGACCGTGGGCAAGCAATCCGTTTACACATCCATCCCCCAACAGGATGATCTCTGGACTCTCTGCTTCTTCCTGAAAAACAGTCCCCATCCACACCACCGTCGTTCACCGCTGAGCTGGTCCTCACTTTGAACAACTTCTCCTTCACCTCCCCGATTTTCTTCAGGTCAAAGGTGGGACTGTGGATACTAGCATGGGCCCCAGTTCGTAGAATCATAGAATCCCTACAGTGTGGAAACAGGCCCTTCGGCCCAACAAGTCTACACCGACCCTCGGAGCATCCCACCCAGACCCATCCACCTGATCTATACATCCCTGAACACTATGGGCAATTTAATGTGGCCAAGCCACCCAGCCTGCACATCTTTCGACTGTGGGAGGCAACCGGAGCAAACCCATGCAGACACAGGGAGAATGTGCAAATTCGACACAGACAGCTGCCCGAATGTGGAATTGATCCCGGGTCCCTGGCGCTATGAGGCAGCAGTGCTAACCACTGAGCCACCCTGTCTTTTTGTGGGTACAATGGAACATTCTTTGTTCCAGTCCTACTCGGGGGGTGGGGCCATCCAGAAGTCTTTTTCTGTACATCAATGACATCGGTACTCCTTCCCTTTCTCATCTAGAATTGAAAGAGTTTATTTTGCTTCCAATTTCTGCCCTGCTCATCTTCACCTAGCCCATCTCTGACTCCCTCCTTTTCCTTCCTTGACATCTCCGTTTCTGTTTCTGGGGGTGTGCTGGCCACCAATATACTCCATAACCGACCGACTCCCACAGTTATCTGGACTATATATCCTCATGTTCTGCTCTCTGTAAAGACTCTCTTCCATCCTTCCAGTTTCCATGTCTCCGTTGCACAGTTCCAATGATGCTAGCTTCTACAAGGGAGCCTCTGAAATGTCCACCACCTTCCTCAGCTGAGGATTCCCCACCACCGTAGTCAACAGGGCCCTCAGTTGTGTCTGACCCATCTCCACTTCAGCCCTCACCCCTTCTCTTCCTTCCCATAAGTGATAGGAGCCCTCTGGACCTCACTTATAACCCCAAAAGCATCTACATCCAAAGGATAATTTGCTAGCATTTCCACCACCTCCAGTGGGATGCCACCACCAAGCACACATTCCCTCATCCTTCATTGTCAGCCTTCCACAGTGATCATTCTGTCCGGGACATGTTGGTCCACTCCTCCTTCACTCCCAATGCCTCCCCAAAACCCCGTGGCATCTTCCCACGCAATCGCAGAAGGTGTAACACCTTCCCATTGACTTCCTCCATTCTTACTAACCCACGTCCCAGACACATCTTCCAGGTGACACATCTTCCAGGTGAAGCAGCAATTTACCTGCACTTCACTCAATGTAGTCTACTGAATTCGCTGTTCACAATGTGGTCGTCTCAACACTGGGGCAACCGCTTTGCAGAACACCTGTATTCTGTCTGTAAAAATGACTGAGCTTCTTGTTGCCTGCCACTTCAAAACACCGCTGTATTCCCTGGCCAACGTCTCTGTCTCAGGCTTGCTGAAGTGCTCCTGTGAAGCTCAATGCAAGCTTGGGAACCCTTCAGCCTTCAAGATTCAATATCTAGTTCAATGATTTTACGGCCTAAGCACCTTCTCCCATGTCCTTACCCTAACTCTATACACCAGGCCTTGTCATCACATGGGCTGCTACCACACACAGCCCATTGTCAGTCTTTAATGGTCCCCATTAGCAGCTGTTCATTCTCCCTGGCTGACCTTTACCCGTTCATTTGTCTGCCCAACTGTTTTTCTCCCTCTCTGGACACCATCTCCACCTATTGTTTACTCCCCACCCTGTCTTCAGCAATGTACCAACTGTATCCTAGCTACAATCAGTTCTGAAGAAGAATCACTGGACCTAAAACAAGAACTCTACTATCTCTTCACAGAAGCTACCAGAGTTGCTGAGTTTTTCCAGCAATTTCAGTTTTTGTCCTTGAAATGTGTGATGTGCCCATTACGATTGATAAATATAACACTGAAATATATAAGAAGGGAGGTGGTATTGAAGGTTTTGGTGGATTTAAAAGCAGACAAATTCCCAGGTATTTCTGGCTGATGTAGGAGATGGAGGAAATTACAGGTGTCCTGATCTAAATGTTTATCATCTCTGGCCACAGGGCAGATGTCAGAGGACTGGAGGACAGCTAATGTGGTTGAACTTTACAGGAAGGGTGGTAAAGAGAAACTATAGAACAGTGCATGGGGAAACTATTGGAAAAAATTAATCTCCCTTTAGAGAGGCAAAGTTTGAACAGTTAATGAGTGCCTGGAATCCACTGCCAAAGGAGGTGGTGGAGGAGGAGACAAAAGTAACATTTATGAGGCATCTTGACATATGTGTCGGTGCAGCATTGGTGTGCCAGAGGGTCTGTTCCTGTGCTGTACTGTTCTTTGTTCTTTGATATGATTGCAGTGGAAGGAGTGCAAAGGAGATTCATTAGGATGTTGCCTAGTTCACTAGGATGGAGCATTCCAGCTGTGAAGAGAGGTTGCTTAAGCTTGTGTTGTTTTCTTTGGAGCAGAGAAGGTTGAAAGGAGACCCAGTAGAGGTGTATAAGATTGAGGAGCATGGGCAGGCTGAATAGAAAGCAGATGTTCCCTTTAGTTGCAGGGTTATTAAAGGGGAGCAGAATTTTAAAGGAAAAGGCAGAAGATTTAAAAGCAATCTGATGAAAATCTTTTTTTACTCATACAGTGGTGGCGTCTCCAATGCCTGGGAGGGTAAAAATCTGTAATCTTTGGGACAAATTCTACTAACAATAGGCAACATGCAAGGGAAACTAAGCAGTTGAGTGAGACTGAGATTTAGGTCTTCTGTTGTAAATCCAGTCCCGTAACATTTGGTGTTGCTGCTGAAATGATGTTCCAATCCCTAAGTGTTCCTCAGACTAGGGAATTGTATTGGATGCTTTCAGTAAAAAAAAATGTTCTAACAACCACTTGTTTATCATTGAACTTTCCAGAGTACAAATGGGCTATCAGACGTGGATCTGAGGATAGCTTTGCCTGACAGAAACATCATCACAGTCACTGTAAAAAAGAACAGCACTGCAGAGGAGGTCTACAGGGTGAGTGAGTCTGGCTCAAGGTTCTGACTTGTTTCAGTGGGAATGGAATTAACCTTGACTCATGGTTTTTCGTATGGTGATGTTGGGCAAACATCAAAGATGTTGTATTCACCCGGACAAACCAGGATTTCTTAAACCACGTGAAGGAGCCCCAGAGTTCAGCTGTAGTTAGGGTTAGTGACCAAATTGGTATTACTGTGGATAATGCATCTTGAGGCAGTAACAGTGATATATTAATGCTCTATCAATTGAAGATTTTGCTGATATTTGTAAATAATGTTTTGAGTTAGTCTTGCTGGCTCATTGTCTTTTGTTGTTGATGTAGCTCTTAACTAACGATCAGATCAAATGATTGCAAATGATACAAGGTTGTTTGCTACAGTGCACTGCAGATTGTCTCTGCTGGGATATATACTCCATTACATCTCACTGTAAATCAAGCTGTGCTATTCCTACCATTGTCATAAAACTTGAATTTTATGAAAGTATGCACAATTCTCCATTTTATTTGTCTTCTAGATCCAGGTTGATATAGAGCAGGTGCCTGTACTTAACAAGAATTACTATTTCAAATAATAAGATTCCAGCAACAGAGAGACAACCACGAGCGATCGGTGCACAACCCTACTAATTAAAACTTTAATCCTCTTCTAAAACTCCCCTACATGCTCGTGTACATGTACACACTCATGCACATGCACGTACACGCTTGCACACACCAGCATATACTCAGTCTCAATTCTTAGAGTCCTGCAGCACGGAAACAGGCCCTTCAGCCCAACTTGCCTGTGTTTGGCAAATGGGACTAAACAATAGAAATAAAGGAATTGTGTTATGGGTGTAGGGAACATTTGGGAAAATAATTCAATGATCCCTGTCCACAGGGTTTGCTGAGATAATCCTTTTGGCTTGTCAGGACCTCTTGCCTCTTGATTTTTTTTTTTTTACCTCCTACAGGTATTCTGACTTACTGGTTAAAAGCTACAGCTTATAGCAACTGCTGAGGAGTAAAAGGTTGGCTTTCTTCAGGCTTGAGGTCCTTATATCTGCAGAGAAAAAGAACAGCTCCTTGCTTTTTGGAGGTCCAATGTCTTCTGACCAAAAATTGACACCCACAAGCTATTCAACTACCCGGGATCTAATCTGTGTTATTGGCATAAGGCCTTTGTCATTGATTTGTAATATGGTGACCAGTTATCAATCAGCTACTTGTTGGCCAAATCACCCTTCATCCCCTCCTCTGCCTCCAGTTCGTCAATAGCAAACTGCCCCATTGCTTGAACAAACAGCTGTTTAAACAGCACTTGACAATGAGCGTCAAATAACTGTTTATAAGGGCAGTAATCAATTCCACAATCTGTGGTTTTTAAAACAGTTCTTTTCCCATTTCAGTCGACAGTCAAAAATACGGAAAAATAAAAAGGTATGGTGTTTACAATATTTAGAAGCTAAACTGCGTGCACTTATTACATAAGTAATATAGTCATAAATAAAATGATCCTGAAGTTTGGACTGTCTTCCATAGAGAAGAGAAGGTTGAATGGAGATCTGTTAGAGGTATTTGAAATCATGAGGGATCTGGACGGGCCAAAGCTGCTCTTGTGTGAAAAGACCAAGAGGGCACAGCTTTGAAGTAATCGGCAAAAGAAGTAAATGCAGTATAATGAGAAAATGCAGTAAGTGGTATGGAACATACAGCCTGGAAATGTGGAGGAACATTTAATTGTGGCATTCAAAAGAGATTTAGATTCATACTTGAAAAGAATCAATATGCAGTGTTTAGGTGAGAAAATAGGAGAGTGGTACTTTGTGAAATGTTCACTCAGAGAACTGGTGCAGAGACGATGGGTCAAATAGCTGCCTCGTCTGTTGTAATAATTCTGGAAAAATTGTGAAGGTGCACACTAAGTTCATTTAACATCTGCACAGAGAATAGGTAATTCATATTTTAGGCATGGGTTTTTCTCAAAACAGATTTGTGGTGGGTGGCTCAGAGTGCTATGATCAGGTGGAATATGGAGTCAACACCAGAATTCTGATCCACTAACTTTGAAAGGCACTAAAGATTGGATGATGCATGTTCCTTCGAAAGTTAGCCTGTATATACTTTAGCGTAGATACGCAGATATATTTCAAAATGATGAATGTTCTACAAGTTGGCACTTTTAACTTTGGAGGTGCAAATCAATTTCTCTTCCAATTATGCTTAAAATGCAGCATTGGTTTCAAAAGATAATGATTGTAGTGGGAAATGATTAAGTGCTGGGAATCTTGGCTTTTTCTGTCCCAAAACAAAATGTTTGATAGGATTATTTTTTTGGTTCATTTTTGTGGTGTGGTTTGTCTCTGGCAAGTGTTGTCTGTCATTCGTTGCTGTGAGAAGGCTTGGCCTTCTTTCCACTTTGCATGCAGTGGAGTGGTTTAGGGCTGGGCCAGTTCAGAGGACATTTACAAAACAATCACATTGGTGTGAGACTGAAGTCGCATGTAGACCAGAACTGGTGGTGACGTTAGTGAACTATTTGAGTTTTTAATTGTGAGTTATGGAATTCACCACAACCCCAAGACCACTTTATGGTCACTTTTAGCAACACCAGTAAGAGTTTTAAAATGAATACAAGTTCTTAAACTGCCATGGTAGAGTTTGAACTTGCACTTTCTGGATAACTGTTTCAGTAACATAATCACTACACTATAGTTACCTTTAAACTTGAAACCTGAACACTACAATCAGCATGAGAACTGTTAGATTGAGACCAATTGAACTTTTCCAGCTCATCAATTGATTTGCTACTCTGTTACAAGTTGTTGTCAGATATTTATTATTTAATTTGGCTGTACTCTGAATGGAATATTATCCATCCCGTTGAAGATTGCATCAGATACAGTTAGGTCAATTTGTCTGCAGCCAGTTTGGTACATTGTTGCCCCTACAGCTCGATAAAAATCTGACACTGCATTTGTATATTTTCAGAAGTCATTCGTATTTTGTTGGCCTTTGAAACTAATCCATTGATTTTACTTGACTTTGAGACATCCTGAATCAATCAATTCCTGTTTTATGCCTTTCATTTTGTTGATGTGAAATTGCTAAACATGTATTTATATTATGACTGGATAAGCTGCAGAATTTGGAACTAGTTTTTCTTTGGTGACCCAGTGAATTTCCTCAACCTCAATAGGGAGTTTATGAAATATGACACAGCCGTGTTGGTTATACGTTTGACCAACCAATCTCATCTTGGAGAGTGGCAACAGTCTTCCCCCAGATTAAATTTCATACTACATCGAATAAATGAAGGTTTCAGCTTGCAATTCTTCAAAAAAGCTGATTTCTGTGTTTTGTCCTATACTGTGTCAGGTGTTTGTATCTCTTGACCAAACCCAGTGACACATTCTGTTCTATCCCTGCAGGCTATACAAGAGCACTTACGAATGGATAGTATCACAGCAAGTTTCTTTACACTCTTTGAAGTTGTGGATCACTTTTTTGGTAAGGGTGACTTGTTTTGTAATTTTTCAGAAAACAAATAATGGCACCAGAGCATATCTGAGCCTGTTCCGCCCATTCAGCCTAACTATGGCTGATCCTCTATCAGTGTTGGACTGCACTATCTCCCCATTAACCTTGACAACTTTCACTTGTAGAAAGTTCTCTGTTCCTTAAATATATTCAGTGACTTGGCCTCCGCACCCTTCTGTGGGAGATAATTCCACAAGTTCACCATGTTTTGAGTGAAGAAATTTCTCATCTTAGTCTGAAATTGCCTGATGCATATCCTGGGACTGTGACCTTTCACAGGTGAATTTTCACTGCACTCTCTCTCTGGTAATTATATCTCTTCCTAAGTAAGGAGTCAAAACTGCACACAATAGTCCAGGTGAGATCTCACCAAGACTCTACACAGCTGTAGTAAGCTCCTTTGCTGAAACCCTCTTGCAATGAAGTCCAATGTGTCACTTCCCTTCCTAACCGCTTGTTGCACCTGCATGCTTCCATCCAGTGGCCATTGTACATCAACCTTTCCTAATCTATCATTATTGAAATAATACTTTGATGTTTTTCCTACTGAAGTGGACAACTTCACATTCATCCACATTATACCACTGCATCTGCCACGTATTTGCTCACTCACCTGCACTTGTCTGAATTGTCTTGAAGCCTCTTTACATCCTCTTCGGTCCCAGTCCCATCTAGTTTTGTGCCATTGGTGAACTTGAAAATATTACATTTGATTCCGTTATCTAATTTGTTGATATACTTAGAGAGTAGCTGAGGCCCAAGCAACTGATCGTTGTGGTACCTCAGTTATCACCATCCATTCTTAAAATTACTCCTTTATTCCTGTTCTGTTTCCCACTGCTAAGTAGTTCTGAGTCCATGCCAGTATTTTTCAACAATCACATGCTTTCATAAAAACTTTCTGAAAGTCCAAATACACTACATCCATTCTAAAAGGAAGGGAGGCAAAAGGCACCTGCCCATTGAGGGAAGAGGTCAGTTAGCCAACATCTATTGCTGGAAAAATATTGGAATCCATTACTAAAGAAGTAACAGCAGCATGTTTGGAAATTCATAATCTACTCAAGTAGCTTCATCATGGCTTCATGAAAAGGAAATTGTCTGATGAATGAATTAGAGTTTTTCAAATGGATAGAGGGAATCAGTAAATGTGCTGTATTTGGACCTCCAGGAGGCGTTCAATAAAGTACCTAAAGTACTTACAAAAGGTTAAGTCATAAGAGCCCACTGTGTTGGAGGTAGTATATTGACGTGGATAGAGAATTGGGTAGTGTGCAGGAAACAGTGAGTGGGGATAAGGTGTTCCTTTTCATTTTGGCATCTGTAACCAGTGGGGTTTCACAGTGATCAGTGCAGGGGCCGCAACTGTTTGCAAGGTATATTAATGATTCAGAGAAAGGAAGTGAAGGTACTATAGCCGCAATTGCAGATGACACAAAATAAGTGGAAAAGCATGAGAGGGATGCAAACAGTTTCCAGAGAGATTTATGGGTTAAGTAAGTGGGGGGGGGGAGAAAGTTGGCAAATGGAATATAATGCGGGAAAATGTGAAGTTCTTCATTTTGGAAGGAAGACCTAAAGAACAGTATTATTTAAATGGAGAAAAACTGCAGAGAGCTGCAACACAAAGGGTGTGGGGGTATTGTGCACAAGATACAAAGTTAGTGCAGCAGGTAATCAGGAAAGCTAATGGAATGTTGACTTTTATTTCAAGGGGGTTGGACTATGAGAATTGGGAAGTCTTGCTACAAGTGTACAACGTGCTGGTGAGACCACAAATGGTGTACTGAGCGGAGTTTTGGTCCCCTTATTTAAGGAAAGATATTATTTCATTGGAGGCAGTTCAGAGAAAGTTCACTATGTTCTGGAAGAATTGAGACTGTACGTTGGAATTTAGAATGAGATGTGATCTTATTGAACCGTATAGAATTTATAAGGGGCTTGACAGACTAAATGCTGAGAGGATGTTCCCCCCTCATGAGAGAGTCTACAAGCAGAGGCACAGTCTCAGAATGAAGGAGTGCCAAATTAAGACTGAGATAGCGGATTTTCTTCTTTGAGAGGGTTATGAGTCTTTGGAATTTGTTGCTGCAGAGAGCTGTGGGGACAGAGTCCTTGTGTATTTTTTTAAGGCTGAGAGATTCTTGTTTGGAAGGGGAATTGAGGATTGCAGGGAAAAGGCAGGAAAGTGGATGTAGGGGACGTGCAGTCAACCATGATCCTATTAAATGGTGGAGCCGGTAACGAGGCCAAATGGCCTACTCCTGTTCCTATTTCTAATGGTCTATGGTCACTGGTTCTTCTCCATCTATTCTACTAGTTATGTTCTCAAAAATAAAACACCAGTAGATTTGTCAAACACTATTTCCCTTACATTAATCCACGTGGACTTTGTGTAATACAGCTCGTATTTTCTAAGTGTCCTGTTATCACACCCTGCATCATTGACTCTATCATTTCTCTATGACTGCTGTTAGGCTAATTGGTTTGTAATTTACAGTTTTCTCCTTGCCTCCTTTTTATACATGGGGTGATTACACTTGCCACTGTGTGGGATTATTCTGGAAAATACAAAATTTTGGAATTTGAAAACCATTCATTATTTCCATGGCCATTTCCTTTAGTACTCCAGGATATATCAGGCCCTGGAGATTTATCAGCTTTCACTCCCATTAATTTCACCAGTAGAATTTTTTTAAAACTAAATTAACCTTCAATTCTTCTCTCCCAAAAGACACTTCCTTCCCTAGCACTTCTGTGAAGTTATTGGAGTTGTCTTCTGTGAAGATGATACTAAAGTGGTTGTATAATTGTTCTGACATTTCTTTCTCCATTATGAATTCTTCCTTTTTGGACTGTAGGAAACCTACAATTGCTTTCGTTCCTCTTTTTTTTTCTTTTCGCTCCCTTAGAAGTTTTGTTGGTCTTGTTCTGTTTCTTGCATGTTTATTCTTGTTCATTTTCCCCTCTCTTATTCAACCTCTTGGTCCTCCTTTGCTAAATTCTAACCTGCACTCAGTCCTCAGGTTTGCTTTTTTTTTAAAGCAACTTTATACAGCTGTTCTTTTGGGTATAATAATGTCCTTAATTTCTTTAGTTAACCACTTTGGGCCACTTTCCTTGTGTCCTTTTGCCTGAAGAAATGTGTAACTACTACAATACATGCATTAAGTCATTAAGTATTAACCATTGTCTACCCATTGTCATGCCTTTTTAATGAAGTACCAAGTCTGCCACAGTTACCTGATCTGTCACACCTTCGTAGTACTATAATGATAGTTTTATAAACCCACGAAATTCCTCTTCAGGAGCATTTTGAAGAAGAATTTGTTGATGGGGGTAGAATAAATGCGGCGATTTTGAAATGTCCAGTTACAGTGCTTCAGCTCCCATCATTTATGGTGAGGGTTGATAGACGAACTAGGCTATTCCTGCCTGTTAGTTTTGCCTCTTGGTGTCCATCATGATATAAACTAATACAGAGGGTCCCCTTGTCTGTTTCAAAAAAAGGTTTGGACGATATCTCCATTGCTGCTTCTCTAGGAATAATCAATTGATCTTCCATTACGTCGTTTGAAAATGAATTGATATTCATTAGTTGTCTTAATCTGCAGAAGCTTTTCCAATGATTAAAAGTTTGGCATGGTGCACAAATTATGTTGCCATTTAATTTAGCCATGTCGTAATCGCATTCAGCAGGCCTTTCTATTTGATCTTGAGATACTAGGACAGCTGCTAGTTTGGCCAAAGAAGTAGATTTGAAAGGACGTCTTAAAGGAGGTGGAGAGAATTAGGAAATTAAATTCTGACATTAGCACATGGGTGGCTGAAGAGACAGAATAAGTTGGGCAAATGCGCAAGAGACCAAAGTTAGAGAAGTGAGGAATTTTCAGATGGTTTTAGGGTCCAATAGGGTTATGGATGGAGAGGGATTTGAACATCAGAATGTAGCAAGTTAAAATTTAGGCAAATGAGGGTACTCACTCATGCACTCGTCCCCATCCGTAGCCAGAGATGTCTCATTGTCCACCAGTAAGGAAAGTTCCCAACCTTTTCCTGTTTTTGGGGTGAAGGTCAATGTGAGGCATCGGTTGTGTGTTATTGACACAGAAATCAATTTGTACCTTTTGCAGAGCGGAAGCTAGTTCCCAATGAATTTCCACACAAACTGTACATACAGAACTACACATCAGCAGCGGCTGGGACATGTCTGGTCATAAGGAAGTGGCTGTTCACTATGGCCCAAGAAGAACTTTTGAATGACAACGACCTTGCAGTAACCTACTTCTTCCACCAGGTACGTAAGCAGTTTGTCATGCACTGTGTAGTTTTAGCAACATGGAATACAGTAAGCAATTTCTGGTACTCACTTATGTTTTGTATGTTTGTGACTCACCTCATTTATGTGCCCAAGTGCCTCAACATCAGAATGTCATTGAGATATATAAAAAAATTAAATTTTGAGGAGTGCAATTGCTTAACTGGCAATCTGAAAGTTCTGTATTATTTCCGTAGTTGTAATGTATTTTAACATTATTTCAGTTACTTGTGGCAAAATCCTTAGTGACTGAGACGGCAGCTAGCTTACCTAATCCCACTCTTCACTGAATCATTAGGAGTATTGCTTTAGTGAACTGCCTTTCCATCATGATGGGGAACCATCTCCCACTTCATTACTTTATTGCTTACCCCCTCCTTTCAGATCCAAACTTGAACAATAGACTTAAGATGAAGACTCCTTCCCATAAATCTGGTACCTTCTGCATGGTGTATACTGGCGGTTGTGTGCCTGTTTGTGTACGTACATGTATCATGGTCACGTGTGTTAGCCAACTCTGAACAAGTACAAAGTTGGTGTTTTCAATGATCTTTGGTTCACCTTCCTCAGTACCTGCAGTCTGTTAACTGGGACGTTCTGCTAGAAGCTAGATGGTCCCATTTGTCATTTTGAGCAAATCAGCAATAAAAATAGGAAGCACTGTAAATATGCAGGTCAGTCAAACTGAGAGATGGAGAAGAGTTTCTTTGTCAGAAATCAGCAGAACAAACCTAATCCTGTCCTCTTCAGTATCCGTTTGGCCTTGAAGCAGGAATGTGTTCACTAACTGCGGTACCAGCAGACTTCCTTAAAATGACCAGACCTGTTGTTGCACTGGTCAAAATTAAAACACTAAGATGTGGTAAAGAACTGAAACCAGGAATAGTTTCATGACCTTAATCACATTCTGAAAATGTTGGGCAAAATCTGTGAAAGCAACTGAAAACTTGAAAGAGTTTGGAATGGGATTACTATATAGTAAGTTAGTCATGATGCTTGATGTAATGGTGTGTTAAAGTATGATTTGTGGTACTGGCATGGCAGCATTTATTGGCCTTTTGCCCTTGAGGGTTGAGTCAAGCCTTGAGTGGGACTGGAGTTACTTGGAGGACATACTGGGTAAGACTGGCAAATTCTCTTCCCTGAAGGCCAGTTGTGTTTTTAATCTGCTTTCTACTGCTAGATGCAAATTATCAAATTTATGGAATTTAATTTCAACTTGCTGTGGTTGGATTTGAGCTCATGACCTCAGCTGCTGATCTTGTTGCAGTACCGTATCAGGGTAGGGTGACTTGTCCTTTTAATATGATTATGATGCAATAGTAATTGAACAAGAATCTGCAGCAAGCTCCTCCAGAACACCTCAAAATGAGCCAGACACACAGCTCTTCAAAATATGGCATCCTTTACAACCACATGAAGGTATTTGGGGTCCAGTTTAATTGCTCATTGAAAGACAGCACCTCCAAGAGTGTGGCATTCCCTCACTGCTAGATTGGTGAGGCAGTCTAGATCTTGAGTTAGATTCCTGGAGTTGAACTTGAACCCATGCCTTCTAATGTATGTGTTTCTGTGTGTTACTAATTCCTGATCTTGATCCTGCAGTGAGATACTTTGGAGCTTAGTCCCTTTCCAACTGTGCTATTTCTTCAAAAAAAGAAGTTCCAAGACTTGTGGCAAGTTCCCAAATGGCAAGCATCCAACAACAGCATCATCAATAACTGTACTTGTATAATGCCTTCAATGTCGTAAAATGTCCCAAGGTTCTTCACAGGAGCATTATCAAAAATATTCAACACTTCGCCAGTTGCTATAATGCAAAAAAAACTTAGTCAAAGATAGAGATTTTAAGGAATTAAAGGAGGAAAAAGAATCAGGGGAATTTCAGAGTTTAGCACAGGGGTTTGCAACCTTCAACTCTTCAACACCCCAACTAACTCTGTGTTTACCAGTTGGAAAAGTAATATGAAAAATATTAAGCTTTTTTTTATTGTGTAGATGAAAAACTAACCATTATGCTGCATTTTATAGGTTAAAATGATTATTTCAATGAATAACATCATCATGATCTGTATCTGTTCGGGTAGTACGGCTAAGCCATGGTTACAGGTAACAGGAACAGAAATTGCTGAAGAAACTGAGCAGATCTGGCAGCACCTGTGGAGAAGAAAAGACTGAAGGTTTCGAGTCAGTGACCCTTCAGATGGTTATAGGATCTGGTCTTGTGGTTGCAGTCACTGTTGTTTTGATTTATGTCTGAGACAACAAATTATTCAGAATGTGCTTTTCGAAGCTTTTATTATGTCAAGAATGAATAACTGAAGAAATTGTTTTAATTCCACACATAGACAATTTCACTTTCATTCGCTATGATTTTGTGAAAAAATTGAATGATTCAGAATTCTATCTGTTGTAGTTTTCGTTTCTTTTCCGTCATTATTTTTAAGATTTATGTATTAAATTTATGTAAATTGAGTTTCACCAGAGACAGTTGGCCATTTGTCAGATGTTTGGTTTAGCAATGTAGAATTCTTAAGCTGTGACTCCCAGCAGTTTTTATTTTAGGCAAATCCATTTTTTAAAAAAAAAAGTTTCTCAAGTAATAAGGGCTTTTGACCCCGGTATAGAATTTTGGCAGCTAAAGGCGCAACTGCCAATGGTGGAAACAGTTAAATATCAGGACTGCTGAAGAGACCAGAATTGAAGGCGCACAGATCTGAGTTGTAGGGATGTACTTATCCCATAGTAGTGTAGAGTCTTGTGAAATGCTATTTTACTTTGTTTGGTAATAATAATTGCAGGCCTGAGTGTCTCTGCCACAAGTTAGCAGCTGTGTTGTAATTGCAGGCTGTGGAGGACGTAAAGAAAGGACGGATTCGAGTTGGTGATAAGTCATACCAGCTTCAGAAACTGTCGGAGCAGCACAAAAAAGTCATGGTAGGATGTTGCCAGTTTATTTAATGTTTGTGTGTCCACAGAACAGGAAAGTTTATCATTGGAATTTACAGCTTAGGATTGGGCTGAGGACACTAGTTACCAGAAATGCCGCACAGGAAGTGGACTTGATTCTGATCTTCACCTTCTGCTTCCACTTGCAAAAGACTAAGAATTGAACCAATTCTTTCAATGATAGTCACTTGTGAATTGTTATATTACTTTCAAGGGACAGTAATATCCAGTGACAATGGACACAGCGCAGTTGTAGAGTTAGAGGAAGGTGACTGAAGCTGTGATCGAAGTGCTGGGTATTGAAAAGGGGAAGTGGTTGCATTTCTTTAATGCTTTTCACTTCCTACAGACATCACAAAGTACTTTAAAACAATGAAGTACTTTAAATCTGTCCCTGTCATCACGTAGGAGTTGCAAAATCCCAATTGTGCACTGGAATGGGTCAACCTCAGACTGACCATTGTACTGTTACCTACTGAGTTACTGGGAGGTTTTACACAGTCTGCTTGCTTTAAAATAACACCTGCAACTGAGATGAAATTTACCACTGTACTGTCCAGCCTAGTACATCAAGGCTGTTGAATCCACAGCACACTCAGGGGAACCAGCTAGTGTGTTTCTCCTCTGGTGAGAAGGTTGGACAGTCCATATTGTTCCTTGGCAATGAAATAAATGACCTGATGATCTGATCGTTGTCTTGGTTTAGGAGTGGCATGGACTAACACAATGGAGAGTTTCAGGGAAAACCTTACAGGGCACGAAGCTGAGATTGAAGGTGGAACTGAGAGAGGGTTCGCAGAGAATGACTGAGCCGGAAAGGAATGTGTCAATAAAGGAACTCTTCAATGAGGAAACTCGTGAAAGAGATGTGAATTCCACATATTGATAAATGTGGAACTAGTGGGGGTTGGCAGAGATGGATAGATGAGGCAGCGAATGCAGAATCAACAACAAGCAACACTGCATTTATATGGTTCCTTTCACATTGTAAGGACATCTGAAAACATTTGTAAGCCAGTGTTGCTGAAAAAGATTATTCCAGTATTATGACTGTGCTGTTGTGGGAGCTTGCTGTGCACCCATTTGCTAATGTGGTTCTTGCGCTACAGCAGTGTCCGCCCTTCAGTTCATAACAGGCTGCAAAGCACTTTGGAATGATTTTAAGGTTCTGAGAGGTACTATATAAATGCAAGTCTGTCTTGACAGATGTGTGGAATTTAAGTGTCAGTTCTGGTGATGAGTTAGATTAAATGATATGGGGTGGGTGGGGGAGTGGGATTTGCTGGCAGGCCATTTAATAGTCTGACGCTAAATAACTCTCTATTATTGCAGTACCTGAATATGATTCGGACTTGTGAAGGCTACAATCAGATAGTTTTTCCACACTGCCGGTGTGACTCTCGAAGGAAGGGCCATGTGATGGCAGCAATTAGCATTCAGCACTTTAAACTCCATGCCTGCACAGAGGATGGACAGCTGGAGGTATGTGTGATCAGATGGGATGCTGATGGGACTTGTCTTAATATACTGTCCTGCTGTTCCCAGTCATAGCGTAAATCATCTTAGTGAATGGGATTCAAATCCCATGCAGATTTGTACAATGCTGCAGCACAAGAGGCAAATGTACAGCCCATGGTGCCTATACCTGCTCTTTAAGAGTTACCCATATAGTCCCACTCCCATGTTCATAGCCCAGGAAATTCAGTCATTTTAAAATATTTATTCCATTCCCTTGTGAAAGTCATAATTGATACTTTAACCACCCTTTCAGGCAATGCATTCAAGTTACCATAACTCATGGAAATCATGGAACTTTAAACTTGTGCGTTTGACTGTTGACCATGCTGACAGTGGAAGCAGTTCCTCTGTTATTTTATTCTTTCATGGAATGTGAGCATCACATCAATGGGATTCTGCCTGAATTGCCCATATTTGGTGTAGGTAGACCTACAGCGCTGTTGAAAGGGAGCTCCAGGATTTTGACCCAGCAACAGTGAAGGAACAGGTGTATGGTAACAAGTCAGGATAGTGTGTGGCTTGAAGGGGAACTTGCAGGTCATGCTATTCCTTTCTACCTTCTGTTGTCCTCCTTGCTGCTGGAGGTCCATGGGTTTTTGGAAAGTGTTGTCAAAGGAGTCTTGGTGAGTTGCTGCAGAGTATCTTGTAATAGTGGAGTGGGTGCTGATCAAATGGGCTGCTTTATCCTGGATGGTATTGAACTTCTTGAGTATTGTTAGAACTGCATTCATCCAGGCAAGTGGCAAGTATTCTTTCAAACTTTTGACTTGTACTTTGTTAGATAGTGGACAGGCTTTGGGGAGGTGAGAGGTGATTTATTCACTGCAGAATTCCTAGCCCCTGACCTGCACTTTTGGCTAGTTCAGTTCGTTTTCTGATCAGCAATAAGTGGATAATGATAACAATGTTGACTAGTATTTTGAACACTTATTAAAACTTAGTTTGTTTTACTTGGCCTTGTACATGGCTGTCACAAGGTGGTGAGTGACAGCCTAAGCTGTTCTATGGGGAGAGCAATGTTAGTGTATCTCCCAACAGCTCCAAGTAAACTGTTGAAGCAAATCTTTTCACCTCTCCCTGACTCCTGAGCAGAGTAGTAGTCGGTTATACACCTACAATGTGTTGTAAAGATGGACCATTTGTACAGAATGTAACCTCTGAGGCTTACCTGTCTCTTTCTGTCTCCTTGCCCCACCTCGGTTTGCCCTGCTTCTGAAAGTATTAACTACTTGTTCAGTCTGTAGTGTTTCAGGGCCTGGTCCTGAGGCCATTGCTCCTGTAAGAGTTGGGTCATGGGGTCCTCCACCCCATTTCAACCCGATTTCCCCACTTATGCTGTATATCTCTTGGTACGTATCCTCTTCAAAAAGTGTCTTGATTTGGCTTGAAAGCTTCGATTATGCCAGCATCCACAGGGGATGGTGTTCTAATTTGTGTGGAAGAATATGCTCCTATATAGTTAGCCACTGAGAGGCACACATCAATAGTTTGGTGCAAATTACTCATGCAATCTCCTTTCTTCCAATGCAGCTGAGGTCAACTTAGGAGCGTAACGGAGTGAGAGATTAAACTTTCTCTCTGATGCTACAAACTGCCTTTTGATTTCTGTTAATTATAATCCCACTACCAGGAATTAATCCAATCTCAACTGTCTTAAATTGGACAGCACCACACAGTCCACCCAGCCCTAAAGTCTGTGCAAGTGTTTCTCTCCTCTGGGATGACCACCATTCTGAGGCCACTCTTTGTTATTCACTTCCTTCAAGTAATTTTCTCATTTAATTATTTTAAATGATATGTATTTGGATCGGAAAAAGGAGGTTTGAATCCTTCCTGTACAGAATCAATCAGTCCTTTCTCACTTTTTTCTTCGTGGAAAAAATACTGAGGGTTTGTCTATCATTTTTTAAAAAAAAGAACCAGGTAATCATGTTTGAATGGGACGAGATGCACCAGTGGGACACAGATGAAGAGGGAATGGCATTCTGCTTTGAGTATATCCGTGGTGAAAAGAAACCTCGCTGGGTGAAAATCTTCACTCCTTACGTGAGTAACTCTGTCTTGCATTTCTAGGCTGACTTGGTGTTTCCTGCTTTTGGGACAGGCAGAACTATTGCCACTTGCAACACAAAGCTGTTTCTTCATTGGGTGGTTCAATTGGAATCTGCTGTGGTTAGAGAGTCTTCTGAGTTGGAAATGAAGAGTTCAAGCCACAATTCAGAAACTTGATGATTAAGACTGGTCTGACTCCTAGTAATATTCTGTGGGAATGCTTCAGTAAAGGTGCTGCCTTTTGGGCAAGACACCAAGCCTGTATGCTCCCTCAGGAATATGTAAAAGGCCAAGTCTGAAGACCAGCAGGGAGTTCTCCCCAGTGTCCTAGCCAGTGTTCATCCCTAACTGATACTACTTTTAAAAAATAAAATTACCAGGTTTTTATCACCATGTTGCATTAGCTGTAAACCACATGGGGAGGTACAGAGGTTGAGATGCATCCTTTATAAATGGAGGTTTGTTCCTTAGATTTACACAGCACTGGAAACAACCATTGTACTTTTTTGAGAATTGTCCAATAAGTTTTGGTCCTCTGCACTTACTTTAGAGCCCTTCCCAGTTTCTCTTTTTCAACTGTAAATCCAATTCCTTTAGTTTTGGAATCAGAGTTGCCATTGAAAAGCATCATCATCTGTCTGACTTGAAGGAATGCGGAGCACGTCGCTAAGATACGGGCTGATGCAGTGCTGCTGCATTGCTCAAAAAGGTAAGGAAACCAGGATGAATTCTTTGGTGTGCAGTCCAAGTGCTGAACAGTTGGGCAGTGAGATGTTTAAGTCATCTATGCTATTGTCTGTCACGTACCTCAGGCAAAATATAGCAGGATGTTCCAGGCCTGGCCTAGGATGTGGTAACTTGACCCACTGTATCTCCTCCCCTCACTGTCCCATTGAGGACACGGGGAAGTGGGGGTGGAATTGCCTGTTTTAAATACATAAACAGAAACTGCACTTCTGCAAGCTGTTTCATGGCTGGTTGAGTGCTTTGGCGTGTTCTGTTTCTGTGACACTATTTTTTTGTTTCCATTTGTAGTTTAACTACATGCACGAATGTTTTGAGCGTGTTCTGTGTGAGCTGAGATGGAGGAAAGAGGTAAGCCATGTCCAGTACTTGTTCATTTAAACAGACTCCGATATTGATTTTTCCTTTGCCCCAAGATTTGCCTGATCATGTAATAAGAGTAAATGGCATAAGCTTTGCTTCCATCAAGAGTTCAAGAGCTGAGATCCTTATCTCCAGTCAGTATGTCAGAGGGACTCTGAAGTCCACAGTAAATATTCTTTGTTTTGACTGCAACTCTGATATCCCTTGTACACGTGGGGAGGTGGTTGTGTAGTGGTAATGGCACTGGACAAGATAATCCAGCAGCTCAGATCAGTGTGGGTTCATATCCCACCATAGCAGCTGTTAAGTTCAGTTTTTAAAAAATTGCAATTGAAAGCTAGTGTTAACTAGATGCCATCTAACTACCTTCTGTACACTAACATCCTTCAGGGAAGGACATCTGTCCTTACCCAATCTGGCCTACATGGGACTCCAGACCCACAGCAATGTGCTCGACTTTTCATTGCCCTTGGAAATTGCCTAGAGAGCCAGTAAGCTCACGGGCATTTGGGGTATGGCAGTAATGCTGGCCTTGCCAGCAATGCCCACATCTGTGACAGAATGAAGAAAACAAAATGAAGTTGCTTCTCCCCCCATTGAGTCACACCTTGGTCATGGAGCTTTTACCAAGTGCTTTTTAGCTTGCAACCCAAGCTATTTAGCACCAGGAAAGAAAATGCCAGATTTATTTTCTGATCCTGACTCTAGTTGCAACATGATCAAGGGCAGTTTAAAATACACCTGCAAACTCCTCAAGAGAGCCCTCATTTAAAAAAAATGTAATGCATTCATCAATTAGTCTGTCTGTTCCTGCTTTCACTATATCCCCCTTGCCCTAACCTCTAGCTTCGTACTCACTCTCACACTCTCTCTTTCTCTTTCCGTACCCTACCCGCCAACAAAAAAAATTCCTGTACTTTGCTGCCACCCTGGCCTTCCCAAACCTTAACTGGCAACTCTTCCCTCTGCTCACAAGCCTTCCCCTGCACTCGTATGTTCTGTTTGTCTCCGTCTCCCCACATTGTAGGACACTGCTGTAATTCAGAAGGTGGCCCATTGTGACTGTACTTGCTCTTTTGAAGAGCAAATTGGTCACTCCCGCTACTCTACCCTTTTTCTCCTTCAGTTTGTTCTCCATGAAATGTATACATCTCCGTTTTGGAAAGTCCATGAACGCATGAACTACACCAAACACACTCAATGAGGAGGTTACTATCAAGGAATAATTAAGTATGATATGCTCCTACTCATCTGTTTCCTTGTCTAAGGGCTGTTAATTTTCTCATCACTGACATTAAACTGACTTGCCTCTAAATGCCAGGTTTATCATCCTTGACAGTTTTTTGAATAATGAGTCTTTTAATTTCTGTCTTCCCACACCTTCCATCTGCCACTCCCATCCTGTCACACTCACTTTGTTTCTGCCTCTCACAGATGGAAGAAGTTGGCAATGATGAAGACAATAGGAATAGCACCAACCACATGGTATGGACATGGGGAATGGAGGAGTGCGTGCAAATACTTTGATGTTGCTGGTGAGACTGGCATGAAACTGTGTCCCAGGGTTGTCCAATTACAGATTTGCCCTTTAACAGGCATGCTCGGGAGTTTCCTGAAGAACAAATATCACTGTCAGTGGCTCTGGGTTTAGTTACCCTTTCAACCAGTGGCCAATATTAACATCATTAATTTAATCAATCATAGGATATTGATTGTGATGCTATTTTCAAATGATCTGCCATGTTCTCCATTAATCAAAGAGACCCTTTTTGTGGCACTTGAAATTAGTCTGATAATCAGAGGAGACACTCTGGTTATCTGATCAGCGTAATGAATTTGTTTGGTTCGATACAGGTGAACAGTCTCCTCCGGTAGAGGAATCAACGACAAAGTGTTACACTCTGAAAATCAGAGTCAGGCCATTCAGGAATGAGATCAGGAAACACTTAATACGAGTAATAGAAATCTGGAATTCTCTCCCCAAAGACTGAATACTGGGAGATCAATTGAAATTTTCGAGACAGAATTTGATAGATTTTTATTGATGGGGATATCGATCAATGTTCCTTCTAATCTTTGGCTGCGATCTGTTTGTTGCACTGCATGGTCCCTTTAAGATTGCTGCACAGCCACATGTGCACCTCTAAAGGAAATGTTGTTGTGCACGGTAGGTTTCCTGACTTGTGCATTATGTTTGGGATTCATTGTGCACCCACACAGGTGAGGAGGTGGAGCAATGACAGATAGGGATTTCAGCTCCATATAAGCCATAATTGAAGAATGGAGCAGAATGGCTTCTTTGAGTTCTGAATGTTTAGAAAAGTAGCTTTGGAATGTTTCACAATGTAGCAGATGTCTAGCTGTCTTGAGTTTGATCTCTTAGCATTCTCGTTCAGAACTGAAGAAGGGTCACTGGACCTGAAATGTTAACTCTGCTTTCTCTCCACAGATGCTGCCAGACCTGCTGAGTTTTTCCAGCAATTTCTGATTTTGTTTGATTTCCAGAATCTGCGGTTCTTTGGTTTGTTTCATTAGGTTTTCAATTTGTTCCAATAGTCACATGCTTAATCCTGCCTAAATAATATCATTTCAGTATAAAAGTATCAGAATTCACCCATATATTTTGGAAAATGAGTTGGAACTCCTTCCCACAGCACTGTTGGTCTACCTGCAACAGTTCAAGAAGGTAGCTCATCACCACCTTCTTGATTGTATTTGAAGATTGACAATGAATACTAGCCCAGCTAGCAATACCTATCTCCCATTAATGGATTTTTAAAATGCAAATAATAAATTTGTTTGTTAAATCTCTCAATGATTTTGTATATACTTTGAGCTACTGCTGGTGTTTGATTTTAGGAATTGCCACCTTTGTGTGAACAAGGCTTTAAGCCGTCTGACCCAGTGGATTCAAACAAAATTGACTGTTCCGTCAGAAATAGATCGGATAAGCTTGTTTCAGCTGAGTTTACCAATGGCTTTGACTAGGGGGACTACAGCCTCCAGTTTGGGCCCAACTGTTGCATGAGATCCAGGACTGAGGATAGCTTCTGCCTGAACATTTGGGGTCTTAGTCTGATGTGCTCCAAGTTGATGTTCTGAACCTGCATCTCCGGCAAAGGGACCTCGATCTAAGCAACTATGATGCCGACGACATATCTAACCAAATATGTTGTCTCTAAATTGGGCTTACATGGATGAAAGTGGAAGAAAATAGAGGCCTTTGAAATGTGGATGATAAGACAGATGCTAAAATTCGCACACCGAGATAATGAAACAGATGATGTTTGAAATTGCAAGAGTAAAAAATAGCTTGAAACAGTGATGTTCATAAGAGTGTATCATTATTTTAGCTGTTTGATCAAAGGTGAGAAGCTGCACAGATCTTTTCTAGAGGCCAAGATGGAGAGAAGGTTCAACCTAGGTTTAGCTGGATGACAGATATCAAAAGTGGTTGTAGCCGAGCTACAGTGGATATGTGAGGATGGCACAAGATAGTGTGTGACACTAAGGCAGCAGATCATCTGGTAGGAGTTGCTCCGGGCAGCAGCCATTACCATTAGTTACTTCCACTTGAAAGTCTGTAAAGATGGTTTAATTCTTCTCTTCAAATTCCTCCCATGCCTGCTCACCCTAAGAACCAGAATAAATTGCTAATCATTCCACCTCCTGTGCTCTGGGCTGCATCTGTAAATAATGTTCTCAGATAAGCTAAATTGAGCCTACCATTTTTGTACTTGAGCATTGTACCCATTGCCAATTCCCATCTTAATATTTTAATCTGTTAATACTCTGCCACTTCTGTAGATGATGTTATCTACCTACAGTAATTTTATTTTCCACTGATTGCAATGAACTTGTGCACCACCGATGTTAAGGTGTTTGTTGATATGAACAAACTTCCTAATTTATCTCAGGAGACATGAAAGAGTAACTGTTGTAGTTTATCCAATTGATGTAAATTTTAAAAGTGGGCAGGTAAGATGGAACAGTGTAATGTCACAATGATGCAACTTTTAAACTTTTTTCAGCAAAGCAGCAAGGTTTTTTAATAAGATCAAAATACTGGAATGCTGATAATCTGAAACAAACACAAAATGCTGGAGAAACTTGGCAGGTCTGGCAACATTTGTTGAGAGAGAAACCAGCTAATGTTTCAAGTCTGATAGGACTTCAGAACTGTAAGGGCTTGGAAAATGGTTTTTATATTTTTGACAGAGACAAAGGAGGAGCAGGAGGAGCAAGGGGAACAGTTGGTAGGGAGGCCCAAGCACAAGTCAAAGGGGTTGGCTAATTGAAGCAAAAGAAATGTAAATAATGCAAAATGAGTGTAAGTTAAGTTATGAAAGAGAGAAAGTGTCCCCTCTGTTGAGAGCAAAGTAAACAAAGACACAGCTGTGGGATGGGGCTGGAAGAGAATGCAAGGAAAACGGGACAGGTGTCAAGCAAGGAAGTTTTGTTTGATTACCGGTGGACTGATTGTTAAAGGAAACCGTTTTGAACATCTGGAAGACGTTTTTATTTTCACTTCCTATCCCGCTGTTTCCCCACCTAATCACTTCTCCAGCATAACCAAACCCCATCTAATTCTTGACCATGCCCAACTGGTTGGCCTTAATTTGGGAGCATGAGTGTCAGATATGCCTGGCTTGTGCATTATATACTGGCTCATTCTAGGATTAGATTTTTAGTGCAACATGTGACTTATCTAGAATTAAATTATCTGGTCGTCCTGATGTTGCGATGGCCAGTGTCTGGCTTGTGGGTATTTCAGGAATTGGCTTTACAGTCTGTTTCTTTGAGGTTAGCTTTTCTGTGGCGTTGACATCAATAAATTGCAGAGTTCAATTATAATTCAAATCCAATCCCTCCTTTGGAATGGTTACCTCAAGATGAGGTGCTCAGTTTTTCGACTAGCTGTTGATCGAAACCATGACCATTTCTTTCATAGCATTCTCCATTGAAATAACTTCACTGTTTGACTCTCTCTTGGAATTTGCCTACTCGGTTAGGCAGTGGACAATTTCCATTTCCATCAAACTGCCCCAGGATGAGTTCCGCACCTAGGGTGAAGGATAAAGGGAGAGTTGCTGATTTTAAAAAGGTTTGGATGTTGATCCCAACATCTTAGTTTGCATTGTGCTTTTGGAGTTCTTGTCATTAAAAGCCTGTATCATTCAGCAGAAAATCAAATTCTTTTACATTGGACTTGAGTGTCACTCGTGTTCAGCCAGTTAACACAGACTCTCCTTTTATCTCTTGCAGAATATTTTTCATGCAGCAGCAACAAGAAGTACTGGAGGCTCACTTTCATGAGGGAAGACCTCATTCTCTGTAGCATCTCAGCACCTTAGCATGAAAACTGAAGCAATTGGACCTTTGACATTGGGGCAATGGGGAGGCATGGAACAGCTGAAACCTTTCCTCAATGTAGCTGTGACATCAAAACAGTCTTCAAGTAGTCCATTCCTCATTTCATCACATCTTTCACTGTTGTAACGTTGCCACTCGTAGCCGCCTCTGAGTGATCAAGGAGTAACATGTTTATTGGACAGTGCAGGACGCTCGGAAATAACCTTCCCAACCTGAAGAAATGACTAGCCCATGGTTGATAGAGTACAAGAGGCTAGAGCTTGCCTGCCCTGAATTGTTAGCTGGGACTAGTGGGTGAGGGATTGAACACTATATCTTAGCCAGGATCTCCATTCCCAACCTAATGAATAGACAGCCCACGCAAACAGTTAATTAATTTCTGAGTATTAGAGACAGGATCCCTTCTTTTTGTTCAGGGAATCTCAGACTCCAAACTAACTGGATATTGCTTGGAACATATTCTCAGCACTGAACCAGAGTGTCAGTTCATTTCAACTGTTTTTCCACACCTGAAAATCAAGCTTCCTAGTATATATATATGCTCCTTTGCTTCAAACCTGCCAATGGGATAGTAAAGAGCTTCTTGCTGTGTGTTTTCTGGCATACAGCATGTACAGTATTGTGATTCAGTGGCATATAATAGGAGGGAAAGTGTAAGAACCTTGATGGAAGGCTGATTCTCCTTTAACCTTACAGAAAAAACTTTTTGTGCTGTGTTGAAAATTAGAAGGGATGTTTTGTATTAGTAGCTATGATGCTATGTTAAAGACAGTGCAAACACACATTTAAAAGTTATATGGGGCTGTTGCATTTTTGGGTTTTCTTAAGTAGGGGGCGTTAAGTATTATGCCATCCAGCGACTCATTGCTACTGATTTCTCCAAAGCTGCATAGGAAATATCCATCTTTTATTCTTGTGTTATGATAGTGAAATGAACTGACAAGGAATGGGAAATGTTGAAACCTTAAGTGCTTAATAGGCCGGATTTGTAATTAATCTTATACATTCATAATGGTTTTTTACCACATCTTTTGGGGACTGGTTCAGGCCAGTCACTTGAACTGTACATGGTGTATCTACACTACTTGGGAAAGTATTTCCAATATGCTTTGTGTTGTGTGCTGTTTCTGAAATGAGCAGTTACACAACCTTGACATACTGCTTAATATCACAACTATTCAAACTCTTTTATAGGCTAGGGCTAGTCATCAGTGTTGGACATTGTGAAGCTTGTATTACTCCAGCAGTGATGTTGATCTGCACAAAGTTCATCTTGTACTTCAGTAAATGGGGAATTTACTTGAAAGCAAGGAATCTCTGGGTGCAAACACCTTTGAGATAGTTTATACTAATTCCCTGGCTCCTGTTTTTTGTATTGTGGCTTCCTCAAAGTTCACCAGCTGGGTATGGAGTTGTGGAGAAACAAATTAGGCCAGTGTGAGTGAAGGAAAAAGAGGCTGATTATGAGACATTCAAAGCTTTCAATCAGCAAATCTCCTTTTCAAGGCTGCTCCCTATGTAACACTCCGACAGAGATCAGTTTCAACGTCAACATCAAGCTTTCTGATTGTGGAGCTTACAGTGAGTTCTGAGAACAGAAATGTTGCACTAGGCTCTTTTTACAGAAAACTGGTAGATTGTGTATTTGTATTAGGTTCAGCATATCCAGGCAAAAGCATGAGGACACTACTGCTTGTCAAAGGCTCATGTGGAGGGAAGCGATTGTTTTGTATAAAAAAAAAAAAAAATCCTAGTCTTCGCAAAATTACCATGTAATTTCTTGAAAGCATCAGTGTTAAAGCTGCAATGTAATTATTTATAGATCCATAATTAAAGGTGGCAACTGGTTTGTGTAACATGCTGTCATCGTAATTGAGTTGATTTACTTCTGTTGCCCTCTCGGCAATGGAGTGGATGGGGAGTTGATTAATGAGATCTCATTTATAAACTATAATATACAGATTGGGATTTTGGGGAAAGTGTAGAAGCTAGGGTGGTTGGAAAAGTAACTTTTTGTTCTTTAAGACTTTAAAATTTTGTTTAATGTTGAAAACCAGGAGTAAACCAAGTAAACTGGATGTGTCATTTCCAAATTGAGTTCGTTACTAATCTGTGATTATCCTCCTTTACTGGGGAGGATCAAGGGATTGGCAGAAGCTGGAATTATTTTGGAGATGTTATGAGCTTTCAAGTGCCCAAGGTCTGCAACAGAAGTTTAAATTGAGTTGCTTATCAATTGCAACTTTGATGATAAATAGGGGAGGATGATGGTGTAGTAATGATGTTACTGGATTAGTAATCCAGAGACTATCCTTGCTTTGGGGACAAGGGTTCACACTCCACCATAGCAACATTGAACCTAAATTCAATTGATGTAAATCTGGAATTTAAAAACTGTCTCAATAACGGTGACAATGAAACTAATTTTAATTGTTGTAGAAACCCATCTGTTTCACTAATGCCCTTTAGGCAAAGAAATCTGTCATTCTTACCTAATTTGGTCTACCTGTGACTGCAGACCTATATCAATCTGGTTGATTCTTCTCTCCCTTCTGCAATGGCTCATCAAGCAACTCAATCCAAGGTCAATTGGGAATAGGTAACAAATTACCAGCATCCCATACAAAAACAGTGAAGAACTACTCTACTGCAGAATATTTCTGACTGACCAGCTGAAATAATTCATTGATGGGACCTTGAATGTTAAACTAGGATTGATAAATTTTAGATTTACACCTTTATTTCCACAATTACCTTTATTTCAGAAATCCAGGTTTTCTTCTAATCAGAATGTTGAGATTCCTCAGTGATTTGTGTTGACGAATTAACCCAATTGGATTTATGTGCGGGTCAGATGTTCTGTGAAATCTAAAATAGGCCAGTGTGAAGATAAATCATAAATGGAATCACTGGGTTCAATTATTTTGCGGTTCACTTGCTGTCATCTTGCATATCCCTGAGGGTTGGGGAGAGCATGAGCAATTCTTGGGACTACAGCAGTACTAGGGATCACTGAAAGATTGCACAAACTTGTTTTTTCATTATATGGAAGCCAGTAAAAAAGGTGTACCCATTTCTTTAAGTGGTCAGTGCATTGTAACTTTGGACTGTGTCCATTCCATTGTCTGTTGGTTCATTGAACCGGTCATTTTCTAATCACTGCCATTTATCATTTTAATCAGTGAGCAGCCTGGAGGAGTAGTGTCTGTCATTTGCAGTAATGTAATGTCTTTAAAATTCTTCTAAATAAATGGAAAAAGTGTGCATTTCTGCCATTTACCAACCAAAAATAACTCTCTAGTGTGGTTTTGGCATAGTAGTTGGTAGCTGATGGTTTGGGGAAGCAATTTACAGTTCTAAATGAACAATTACATAACTTCTAGATATTGTTTAATAATACAGCTATTCAAACTCTTATAGGCTAGTTGCCAGTTATTTGGGTTGGATATTTGTGAGGCTGTTATTGTACTCTCAGTAGTGATAAGGCGCACATCTACTATACAAAAATTAGAAAGATAAATAACTCTCAGTACTTGATTATTTACATACTCGAGACTCAATTTGTTTTTTGGTTGGTGGAAAAGACAAGTAACTCATCATGTTTGGTAAATAGTGACTGGTCATGTGTGTTGGACGCCAGGACAGTTTGGGACATTCCAATATGAAGATCAACAACTGTCAAGTTCTCTCATGTTTAACATCCTGTTTGTTCTCACATTGTGGTACCATGCACCAGCATCTTCGCAGTGCTGCAATCATTTGCTATACTTGACACAAAATGGTAATGGTTATAGTGTCTCAGCAAGTCTTCTGTCATCAGTTGGGAAGTCATTCAAAAGCTCTTAGTATAAGAGTGCAAGATGATGTGAACCCAAGAAGTCTTACTTCTGAGTAGCTGAAAAATATAGGAGTAAGTCCTTGGAGTTAAAAGAATTTTAGGGTCAAAGATTAAAAGTTCTGAAAATAAATTTTACCCATTGAGTTGGTTCATTTGAGTCTCAGTATTTCCCCTCATCCTTGTGAAGAATTGTACAGATGAGACTCCTGATTTTGCTCATTTTTAAGGCTAATGAAAATTTTGATCCTACTTTATTCAAATTTTTCAAGGTAATCTGTACATTAAGATTAAATATCTTCAGGTGAATAAATTCCACAGTTCCTGTTAATCCTCTCTCTTTGGGATACCCAATCTGTCGTCATGTTTTTCTGAGTGTCATTGGACTTTTACCATTTTAGCCAGCTTTCTGTAGCAGAGAATTTCACAGGCGCACCACTTTCTAGGTGAAGAAATTTCTCTTCTGTTAATTCAAAATGGCTTATCCAATATCCTTAGATAGTGAACCCTGGTCCTGAACTCCCTGGTCTTCAGAAATATCCTTCCTGCGTTTGCCCTGTCTAGGCCTGTTAGATTCTGAGATTCCCCCCTCATTCTTCTAAACTCCAGTGAATATATTCCTGACTAATCCAGGCTGTCTTTAGTCCTGACAAACTTGGTAAACATTCATTGCACTGTGTCCAAGTCAGAACATCCTTACTACTCTTGTACTCTATTCTGCTAACAATCAACAAGCATGACTTTCTTTTCGTAAATTCATGCTGACTGTCCAACCGTGTTGCTATTTTCCAAACTCTCTGCTATTAAATCTTTTATGTATCAGCGTGGATTGTGGATTGGTTAACACAGAAGAAGATGGGTCTTTTTCAGCTTAGACGAATGTAACTGGTGGAATGCCACAAAGATCCATTCTTGGCACTTTAACTACTTACTACTTTTATCAATATTGATAAGTTAGAGGGAATAGACTGTAACATCTGATCAAATTGGTTAATGACAAGAATAGGAGGGAGGGCATGTTACAATGAGGACATCGGGTATCTGCAAAGAGAAGGAGAGGTTGAGTGAGTGGACAAAAACATGTCGGAGTTTAATCTAGGGAAATAGGAAGCATCAAAGGCAGACCATTATTTAAATGGAAAGACTCCAAAAAAGTACAACGTGAGGGATTATGGGTGTTTTTTTTTTGTCTATGAAACAAGAATTGGGATGTTTTATTATAATTGTGCAAGATGTTGGAGAGGCTGCATGGAGTTTTGGTCTTTGCTTTTAAGAAAAGATGTACCAGTATTGGAGGTGGTTCAAAAGAGATTGACTAGGCTCATTCCTGGGATGAAGGGACTGAATTGACAAAAATGGCTAAACAAATGAATCCTTTATTCATTAGCATTTAGCAGAATGAAGAGTGATCTTGTTAAAACATACAAGATTCTGAGAAGGGAATTATAGAGTAGATATTGAGATATTTCTACTCTTGTGGGAAATCTTTGTGATAAAGTTTTAAATGAGTGTCCCTTATTCTGTAACTGAGGTGGTGAAGAATTTTATTCTGAGTGTAATGAATGTCTAGAGTGCTTTACTGCAGAGAATTGTGGGTTATATCACAACGTTTGAGAAACATCAGAGTTATGAGGAGCTGCTGTGGAAGAGGAGTTGAGGCCTTGGGCAAATCAGCCATAATCTTTATAGGATGGTAAGGTAGGTTTGAGAATGACCTATCTTGCTTCTGACTAACAGGCTAACTGGCACGGTTTTCTGCTTTCTGTTCTTTCACTTGAGCAGGAGCATCATATTAACAGTTTTCCAATCGCCTGGAGCCTTCCTGGAATCCAGTGAGTTCTAGAATATTTTAGCAAATGCCTCCAATATTTCTGCAGCCAGTTCCTTTAAAATCCTTGAATGCAGGCCATCAGGTCCTGGCAACTTGCCTGCTTTCAATCCCACTAGTTTTCCAAATACTTTGCCCTTTGTGTTAGAGGCTGTTACAAGACCTTTCCTTCCATTAGCACATTGGGGTGTTTGAGAGTCTACCGCCATTCATACCATTGCAAAATACTGGTTTAAATTATCTGCCGTTTTCCTGTTTTCCCCCGCTATCAATTCCCCAGTCACATCTTCCAAGGGTCCAACACTCATTTTAGCTATTTATTTTGCTGTTTATTTTTACATTTCCTGCCAATTTACTTTTATAATCAATTTCTCCCTCTTTAACACCACTTTAATCATTCACTGCTGGTTCCTAACAAATTCCCAATCCTCTGGCTTGCCAGTAGTTTCCATCACTTTGTATGCCTTTGTTTTTAATTGATTAGTCTCCTTAAACACCTTTGTTAACCACAGATGGTTCATCCCCCTCATTCTTTTTGACCATTGTGAAACATTTGCTCAAATGTCTGCCACTGTTATTCCGCTGACCTCCCCCTTGGTCTAATTTCGTAGTTGGCTTCAGGCAACTCTTACTTCACATGTCTGTCACTGTCCATATTTAAGTTGAGGTTGCTTATCAATCCTACGGCTCACATTTCACTAGATCTAAAATGGCCTGTACTAAAAGTACTACTCTAAAAAAGATCTCCGGTATACTTTACAAATTAATCTTCCATGTTACCCTTGCCCATCTGATTAGTCCAGTCAATATGCAGATTAAATCATCCAAGATTTCCTGTTCTATATGTAGTGTGAGTTAACTACAAGGATCTATACACAACCCCCAAGTGTGACTTCTTTCACTTGCCATCCTTTATTAACAAAGCTACCTCATCTCCTTTCCCAGAGATAGTAGGAACTGCAGATGCTGGAGAATCCGAGACAACAAGGTGCAGGGCTGGATGAACACAGCAGGCCAAGCAGCATCATAGGAGCAGAGAGCCTCTCTGCTCCTATGAT